GAGTAAATTGTGCACATTGATCATTAAGGTCAACAATAAATTGTACACATTTGTTTTTTTCAAATATTAAAAAACGTTATCTCAAAATCGGCAATGACAGGGTCGTTTATTGTAAATATTGTTGGACGTGCATACACGTATACCTACAATGATTTACTGACGTTTCAGATAACTTGATTTAGATATTTTGGAAGAGTATGCAGACGTATTATACATTTATACATAATGACAGAATATATTATTATGGAGTACTTTACTATAGTAAAAAGTAAGTAATCTAATGTTAAAACAAATAAAGTGTGTCATAGGTATATAGCAACATATATAGACATAATTATAATGTGATACGTGACGTAATCTCGGACAATACCCTTCTCCTCCCTCCCGCGATAATTTGTTAAATAATCTTAGGGCTCCAAAACGAGTCTTATAAAGCCTCTCAAAATGTTAGCTACTAGTTGCATTTCACGGAAAAAATGTCTTCTGAATAATGGCTTAGACATTGGCGTTCATACGAATTGCAGCCCGTGATTTTTTTGGGTACATAGTACATACTAACTCAAAATATAAAAATAAATGACGGACCTTAATTTTCTTTGCTATCAGGGACGGATTCAGGGAGGGGGAAATGGGTCCAGCCCCCCCCCCTCCCCCAGACATATTATTTCGCAAATTCTTTTAAATAATTTTACAGATCCTGATATTCCTATATTTCAAATTACACGTATATCTGATGATATAATATATTTATTTATTATTATACATATCATTCTGGGGTACACAAACTAACATAGTACTATCTTAGTTCATGGCCGACAGTGATTCCAATATAGTAATTTTACATAAACAAACAATTGTACCCCCCCCCCCTCCAGATCTTTGCTCTGGATCCGTGTCTGCTTGCTATTATTACACAATATGTCTGTAGCATTATTACTACAGGCTGTATGGGTATAGGTTGAAAATGTTGTTTTACATGTTTGTCAAATTTTTTTAAAAAAACTAATATTTTGGATAATTTTTTTTATAAATTCAAATTTGTAAATTTATTACTGCCATCATCAAACAGTCAACAATAAGATAATATATGATAGATTTATCTTAAGATTATGTTCCACAAATTATTAACATTATAAAATTACGATAATATGACAATACATATGTCATAAATCTATGTGTATGATGATCGTCGAGTGTCGGCTGTCGTTACTGGTAGGTACTTATTATTAAAATGTGCAACGGTAGTAATTAATGTTATATACAGCAGAAATCGTTAATAATGAGACCGACTGTAGTGACATATTGGGTTTTATAACCTTTAAGTAAAGGACCCGAAAAATGCATAGGTAAGTTTTATAAGTTCATTTTTATCGGCAGTTGATAGTTATACGACAATCGGTTGTTATGACCTATTTTCCTTGGTCCCTTGAACGTCATTATAAACGATTTCTACTGGATATATTATGTATTGAAGGTACGATGGATACATCTTAAAATCGTAATTATTAGGGGCCCTCTAAAACGTGTCATTTTTAAGGAGTTGTGCTTAGGCAATTATTTAGTCCCTATTGGGGTCATTGCTCGTCTATGTGAGTGTAGTAAAAGTAAATGATCATTAGTTTATGACGTATATTGTATAGGTTTAAGAGGTATATATCATACATAAACGCACGTGCATGCACATATAATTTAGTCATTAGATCAAAATATTCAAAACTGATTTAGGGACGTGAAATAACTTTAAGCGCATGACAAAAATGTAAGTACCTACTTCCAGAGGTTCCAAAAAATGTAAAAACGATTGATTGCATAATGAATAAAATTACTTTGCTTTGGTCGGAACACTTCTTCAATCTTAGCAAATTATAGACGGCATTTAACATTTGAAATTGTATCAATTTTTATATTAAATATATTAAAAATATTTAATAAAATAAAGTTTTTGTCAGTTACTTTCGTCATTCTGTTTAACACAGAACAATTGTTATCACAATAATTCATAAACAGCGCATAAAACTCGGATAAAACGTACGAAAAACGGATTTTTTATATCTTGGCAGAAAGTTTACGGGGACAGTTTGTTACATTTAAAAAAAATTTCAGATTTCCAAATTATCAATATTCACTAGGTTAGGATACAAAATCATGTTTTGTATGACATTTATGCAATTCTGATTTTAAGGAGGAAAGATTTTCATGCGAACTTCCTAACAGATATTACAAAATTCATGAGAATGGTAACCTAATACCTATAGATATTGACATATAAAATATCGGAAAAGTAAATTATTTTTCTATCGATGAGCTGGTGAAACCTATTGCTTACCAACACACATTGAATGTGGAATTTGGATTCCAAAATAAATGCATTATGCATTTATGCATCCACCTTGGATTGAATATTTACCACGTTCATTATTTAGAACTTAGAAGTACAAGCATATAACATTATTCTTATATAATATATAACTATATAAGTACTATACTAGACAAAAACTACGGTGTATAACAAGTAACAACAACGTTACGAGCGGCGCCAAAATATCTCGCAGTGGTATGATAATATATGGACTGGCTTGACGAAAAATACAGTTATGTAATTATTTGATACAAAATAAGTCAATTCAAAATTTCAAAATTTCAAAAATTACAAACTCATTTGAACGGGGCCTCTGAAATAGCAGAGGCCCTGAACTTCAGGTTCAGCAGCCCATCCCCCTTGTGTGCACCCCGTAGGTAGTACCTAACTGCTAAATATAGATATTTTACAACGTTGTCAACAATATTGTTCTACGCCGATATAGCTCCTACAACTCGGCGGTTGGCTATACCGACTTGAGGTGTATAAGACGTACGGTTACACAAGAATGATTACAGGACTAGCTTAATACTTCATATTTCATATTTTCATAATATATATTTAAATAATGTGGGCGCCCAAAGTCATATATTAACAAGTAAGCGATCTAAAATGATCGAGCAATTAATGAAATACAAAAAAAAAAAACAATAATACAAAAGATGACCTGGCCGCAGCATCCGTGCAGCGTTGACTGCACAGCCACTCCGTTCCACACTCGAACCTGGTAAACGTGGCTGGAACCCTCTCCAAAATTAGGCAGCACACTTGGATTGCACACGGCGTGTTCGTTGCTGGCGGCTGGACTGCAGGCACGGGGTGTACGCACACGGCAAAAAGGTCCGCCAAAGTGACCAAACAATGGCACTTGGGCCGATTGCAAGCAAAACAAAACTCGGGCCGGCGAGGGACGAGGAGTTACGTCCAACTCGACGGCACAGAAAAACAGGACCCGAGCTCGACCGTATAATCGCAAACGGCGACAGGCAGCGGCGGTACGTAGGGGACGGAAGATGCTCTAGAGCAGCGTTTCCCAAACCACGGGTCGCTAACCTACCCAATAGCGAGTCGCGAAATTTTTTTGACGGGTGGCGACTCGGGGTTACGATTACTATTATTTTAGCCGCAAATTGGTATCTCTATATTGTATAGTAATAATGTTAAGTCCAACTAGAAATTGTAGAATGTATGATAGAATTTTTTTTAACAGGGGATCGCGTACTCAATAAATATTAAATTTATGAGCCGCTATTGTAAAAAGTTTGAGAACCACTGCTCTAGAGCTTCGGCGCCGGCAGCGTGGCGGGACGAACAAATATGGGTTTTAGTGTAACTTAGTAAGAACTGTCCAAAACGGATCTAATGTCGATGGATTCTATCTGAGAGGGAACTTATTTTATTTCTACAACACTGGTCTAAACTATAGTTGTGCTCCACTGGAATTCAAAAGAAAGATTCTACTTGAACCTTAATCTAACCTAATCTTAAAAGTAGGTATAAGTGTATTATACGTTATTCTATGCCTTGTTTGTATAAAATGGTAAACGGCCTGAAGCAGGAAAACTCAAAAACATGACAGATAAAAATGAAACATTTATATGAATGATAATATTTTTAAAATTATAATAAACTAATAAGTTAAAAATAAATCATTGTTAGGTAAATGTTTTTATATATATATATTTTTTTAGACTTAATACCTAAATAATTAATACTTAAAGACATTAAACATTCCCTTAAACCTTAATTTACCTAACCCATGAGGTTTAAGAGCTAAGGCTCGCTTAGGTACTATTCATCATAGTACGTAATAATACAAATTGAGCATGTTGATGTATGACAGACCAGTAATTGTTTTATTCCTTGTTATATTTATAAATAACTCTGCAGTTCAATTTATGGCATGCAAATTTTAGTTTTGCATTTGAATTTACAACAGAACACTTTTCTAAAATGTATAATTTATAAATATTAAGCAAATAGTTTTAGAATCTTACAAATACTGACAATCTACATAAAACGTACAATAATAAAATAAATGCATTTTTATTTATAAACAATGATATATTACATATTTTATAAAATTAAAATGAAAAACTATTCATTATTTTAATATATATAACATAAGTATAGGCATACAAGTTAAAACTGTATAACTGTATATGTGTAATAATTATAATGTTTATTATGATATCATGAAAATATTTTATTTTTAAAATCACACCTTAGCACAGAGGTGTTGATACAGATATATATAAATATGAAATAAAATATTTATATTGATTCATATAAAATACTAGATGATTTGCACTGAAAACCACATTAGTTCACAGTTAACAACATTGCATAATAATAATTATTAAAAAATTAGATACCTACTGGCTACAAATAATGAATACAATTCATTTTACACTAAGTTAAACATTTCAAACATCTGTTCATATATTTAAATTTGAAAAGTAGAATTTTTCAAAATTAAATCGATATCATTAAGATAAGACTGAAACTATAAAATGTTTATGCTACAAAATATTCAATTATTACATTTAATAGAAATAATATCTAAGTATCACTCTATTTTAAACATTAAAAAAAAACATAAATTATAAAATAATTGGTAGAATACATGTTTTTTTTTTTATTAAATTAAAACCAAATATAAAAAGTAATTTTGAAAATTATGTGTTATTCAGTGTTTTAAAATGTAGTTATTATTCTGCTCAAATACCAAAAACCTGCAAATAATAAAAAAAATTATTATTTAAGTACATTTTACATAATAACCATTATAGTACATATTATTAAGATCTTATATTATTGTTTCAAAAATAAAATTTTTTTTTTCGATAAAAGTATAACACATTTAAAATCATTATGGATTTTTTAAAATGAAATTAAAAACATCTCATATTATTTGATTTTAAAACAGTTAGTTTGATTACAATAGATGAATACGAGAAGAACTATATTTACTTTTATCTATCGATGCGAGCACACAACCAAATGGCCCTTCAAGGTCTTAATCCAATTTGGGATAAGTACAAACATACAGTTTTAAATAATTTACATTACTATAACATACTTAACAATTTATTTTTTTATTTACCATAATTAATAATTGGTTACATATGTTAAACCTAATACAATGAATTGTACTAAATAATAAATAGTGCAGTGTGAAATATTACATATTCATTATTGTTGCTGTAGTCTGTAGGTAGATATTTTAAATGTTTTTCCAATTTTAGTACTCTTATAATATTTTTACTATTTTTACAAATACAAGGGATTATATTGTATTTTAGAAGCATATTGAGATACAATTTAAGTAAATATTTAATGATACACCAGATATGTTAAATTGTTTAATAACACTTGTAACATTTTAGATAGATGAATGACATTATTCTGATAATATTATTCACTTACAAAGTTTATAAATTTATTGTAGGCATATCTTACCAATTTAGGACACTAATAAATTTAATTTACTAAGTACTATCAATACAAAATAAGTGAGAAACAACTTTTAAGAGCCTATAAATAAAAATAGATATTTCTGTTCATAAGCTCTTAATAAAAGTAAATGCCTTAAAAAAAGTTGGTTTAAATATTTACCTTATTTATTTGTATATATATATGCAATATATTGATGGTGGTACAATATAATATTTATGCAACATAGTTGTAAGTATTTCGGTCTTCTGGTGTCCGTGCTAAATACTCTCTTTCGATTAAGCATTCGATACGTTTCTTAATAAGAACAGGTGAAGGCATAAACCTTGATCTTAATTGTTCAGTTACCTCCATAATAAGTGTATTGTGTGTTAACTTTTTACGAGCTTTCATAATGCGTACCAGTGCTGCTTCTATTTCATGTTTCCGATCTTCTTCAACTTTGTCTTTAGTCTTCCTCCGCTCTGGTTCGTTTTCTCCTTTGGTAGTAATTGACTGGATTTTAACACGATACAATTTAGAAGTATAAGACTCGTTGACAGAAAACTCATGATGGGGTTCAATCTCTTTTGTTTTGGGACTTTTCAACAACACCCTTTGGGATGGCTTTCCCATTGCTAAAGATTGTAATGCCCTAGTCAAATCTTTTTCATTGATGTCAGTTTCATTCATTATAGTTTCCATTGTTATCTTTTCGTAACTGTTAAACAGCATCAATATTGCCATTTGATAAGTTGATACTTGGAAAATATGCTTACGTACAGCCGAATTAGCATTATTCACACTGGTACCAGAGTTAGAAGACGTAGACACAACAGTACTACCACTTCCATTTGAACTTATTACAGACGTTGCACTATTCTCTCTACGGTTGTCATTAAAAATAGCAGTCAAATCTGCAGAACCTAATTGTGGCTGAAGTCGAAGTTGTCTACCATTATGTTTACCCAGATAAAAAGTTCTAAATTCTTCATACGCCAAACGTGCTATGCTTGGTACATTGCACTTTGGAGTAGTCGATGGTAAAGGCCAAAATCCAGTAGTTAGAACACGAACTGATAAATCAATATTATTACAATTAGATGACGGTGAATTGGACAGGTACAGTTTGAATGATTCCATAATGGTATTTGACAAAGACATGTCTTTAAACATACCTTCTAGTTTAGAAGTAAATTGACATCCACATTCAGTTTTTAATTTTGAGATCATATTCTTCTCATTATCATCACTTACAGACTTGTTCAACAACAATCTTTTAGCTAAATGTTGTTTGTAGTATGTTTCAAAAACATCCTTGTCCTGTAAAAATCGGAACAACACCATGGCTTTGTCTAGCACAGGTTCTAGATCATTTTCATCAATACCGCGCACTCCTTTTTTCAATTTGTCATCAATAAATAATGACATATATTCGGGGGACTTTGGGTTAAGATTTAGAAAATGTTCAAAATCCGAAGATATCGTTTGTTTAAACATTTTATCACTTGCAAACGAATTATTTAAAAAATAATCCAATTTGTCTTTGAGATCTAACAAGCTTTGTACATATGTGACGGGATTTAAATCAGTCTCGTCTTCTTTGACTAATGATCGACCTTCTTCTCGCAAGTACTTACTTAAACAGTCAGACATGGTTTTTAAACCGTCAGACAAATTGCTCAGTAGCTTATACATACAAGCCAGATCTTTTGTTCTCTGATTTTTTAACATAAAAACAAATCCAGAGTTTTCCATTTCGACAATAGTCTTCATATGTTTTTTAATTAGTTCTTCTTCGACTACTTGAATCACACGGCTTTCTGTAGAAACATCTAAGTAATTTTTAGCTCGTTCAGCTTCTTCATTTATCCGAGATTCAGCTTTTTTTATATAAATGGAAGCACTGTTTTCAGCCAAAAGCATTTGACTTTCAACATTGTAAAATTCGCTAGACTGAGCAAGGAATGGGCGTTCAAAATCTTCTTGATAAACTAATCTATTTTGAATACCTAATATCATAAGCATTTGACAGGCGTTTTTCAATGCAATACGGTCTATCACTTCACCGTTCCTTTCTTTCATCACCATGCTCAACAATGTCTCGCGTAAGTGATCTCGTATGCGGTCGTGCCGCACAATTATGTCACGAAATAGCACAAGTCCAAGATTGTAAACACTATCAACTTCGTTGTTCTTCACATACACCTTGTCCATGTACATTAAGATGTCTCTAATCATGACCATTGACGTTTGATGGTCTCTCCAACATTCGTCCAAGGTTTGCAGGAAGTTGTTGTTTAAAGCAATGAGAACGTCTTCTCGCACTTTAGTCTCCAAGTGCGCGGAAACCGTATCTCTCATGCCGTTGTATAAGCGTTCACCGTGCTTCAACAGTATCATTGTATATGCGTTGCGGTAAAGCTCTTCAAAGCTTAGACACGAGTTGTTTTTCTTGTGTATCTCCTGTATGGCATTTTTCAGCATTGCCCATGTGGTGTCGACAAACTTCTCGTCAGTGCGTGACGGAAACGCCTTGACACGCATGTTGCCCCTCTTCTTTGGTACAGTGCTGTTCATGATACTCGTGCGTCTCCTTCCCAGCGGATCACTACTCATAGTTGGCACGCAGTCACCATCAGTGCACGACGGTCGTCTGTCAAATGAAAATGGTTGAATGTATAAAAAAACATGACACACAAGTCGGAATACAAATGAATGATCTATAGCAGTAATTGGCAATGGTCTTTTGGGATATTCGTCTGGTGAAACTGAGGGGGGAGTGAGGGGGGTGAAAAATCAGAAACCGTGAAAAATACCCGTATGTACAAGACTCCGTTCTTCCTCTTCCGATCGAACGATTGGCGGATATCAACTATTATTTCTGGACAACTACAGCGGTCGAAGTCTGATAGCGCAGATCGTTTGGCCGTCACCTCGGTGGAATTTGCTAGGACGATGGTGTCTGAATGATCCCGTGGGGACAACGATTAACTAAAACTGATGCGGCGACATAGAGCGGCACATTTGATTCCGGACAATCGGACACTTTCACCACGAAATACAACAACGATCAGCCGGAAGAAAAACCTCTAGCATCATCATTTGAGCATTTGACGATGTTTCAAAACATCAGCATCAAAAACACACTACTATCAGTATAATACTGTACACATATATAATAATTGTTCTATTGTACAGTCGCCTACAGTGGTAGCGCAAATAATATTATATCGTATAAAATGTAGTGGGTATGTACACAATATTAATGTCTTTTCAGACACGATTTTTAATCGTTAGGTTATATGGGTTATCACAAGTTTTTTTTTTTTATTGTTCCATGAAAATTGTGGCTAAATTCGAATATTATCCTCGACGTGGTCACCGTCTAGAGCGGCCCCCGCACGACACTGACCGTGTATGCCGTATGGTGTATCGGATTTATTGAAAACATCAAAACCGTATAAATATTGACATCAATAATATTGATCGTGTACGAGGGGCGGCTCAACAAGCTCTGACTCTGAGACCAACTACCAGTGACCCGAGAGGTCGAGTGACGAGTACCACTAGGCCACTTTGAGTCTCTGCAGAAGATGGCTAAAAGGGACGTCCCCGGTAACCCAACTGTCCCCCCGACTACAATATCTACATTCTACACCAGTGGTTCCCAACCGTTTTGATACTGCGGACCACTTGCAGAATGTTCGATGCGTCACAGACAGACCCATAGAAACTATAGTTTAAAGGTCAATGGTCAGGGAACACATCAATTTATTGTAGACGTTATTTTTCCTATAAGCAAGAATCAACTGTTTTCACCATAGATAATAAAGAAATGGATAGGCCATGGCTATGCTTATCTCAAGTGTGGTCGTGATCCCGGAGGGGCGTGAAAGGAGAAGAAAACTGAGGCGAATTATCACATATTCGTTATCACTTATCAATTTATCATACATTATACTGATTACCGAATAATTTGATGAGTTGATCAATATTCAAAATTCTTAATTCATTATTCAATTTGTTTTTAGTTTTTGACATTCATTTTAAGAACTAAAAATTTAAAATGGTTCTAACATGTGTGTTTTGCAAAAATAATGCCCATCGTAATCCAGACCTATCTTTTCATAGGTATGTTTCTTATTTGGACACATTACATCCTTCACTTTTTAATATTATTTATCTTATGCTTATATATTTTTGTTTGCTGTTTTAGTTTCCCTAAAGATAGTGAACGAAAAAAAATTTGGCTACATAACTTGCGATTACAAAATGCAAAACCTTGGCACAGAATATGTTCAAATCATTTCAAAGTCAATGACTTCAGTAGTGACACTTTGAAGTTACGTATATTAAATACAAATGCTATACCACATTCAAACATAGACAAGCAGATATGTACAATAATTGAGACCGAGAATGATGAAAATGTATCTTTTAGCAATGGAGTTAAAGATGTTGAAAGTGACACTAATTTGACTCTTGAACATAATATTAGCTCACCAACAACTCCTGAGAGGTATTTCTACAACACTATATGCATATCATTTATTTGACATTATTTTTAAATTTAAATGTTTCAATAATATGGTTATTGAATTTAGAGAAAGTTTTGGAAATTACATTAGTTTGACTCTCAATCCAACTCATGAACAATCTTCTACTCCTAAATTGAATACTCCAAAAAGGTAATAAATTAACAACTAATTTTTTTTTTTTTTTTTAACAATTTTTAAATTTTATTTAACAGAAAATTAGATGTGGAAATGTTTAAGACATCTAAAAGATGCTTAAAGTACAGCAACTCTTCTCGGTTTGGAGATTTAAGTGAAAATGACTTTTTGACACCACGCAGAGCAAAAAGAAATCTTAAAGTTGTTAGATCTACTGTTTTAAGCTTAAGATCTAGGAATAAAGTGTTAGCTGCTAGTAATAAGCGCTTAAAAAATAAAGTTACATCCTTAAAAGGAATTATAAATAGTTTATCTGAAAAACGACTGTTATCAGACATTGCAGCTGAAAACCTCAAGGTAAAAGACAATAAACTGAATACAATTTTAAAAACCAAACCAAAACATAAATAAATTTCAAACTTCAGTTTAATTGTGTTTTGACATGTATTATGTATATGCAGGGTTTGGAACATTCATTCAAAAAGTGAATGCATTCACATTTACATTCATAGAGCTTAAAATTGAATGTATTCGCATCCAACATTCAATTTTTCAAAAAGAGTGAATTCATATTTGCATTCTTTTAAGAAAAGAATGCATTCTTAACCACATTCATGTAAAAAATATTTTATTTTATTTGAATAGAACATAATATATTAATTTATTTTTCGTGTTTAACAAGGCATTTTATATATTGCATGGACCATATCAATAATTAATAAACGACTTTGGTAGATATCTGATTTGATATAAAATAACATTTATTTTATATATCTATGAGTACTCTGTGATTGACGAGTGATATTCAATTGAATTCATTCATTCCAAACTCTGTGTATATGTCTTATGGCTGAGTGTCATTCTGTTAATTTGTGCAACACCGAGAGTGTTACTGTCGAGACGGTGAATGTTTATAGCAATCAGTTGTTATGTAGATATTTAAAAAAATAAAAAAATAAATATATACATTATATTTACTGTAGGTAAATTTTATTTACCTACAGTTTAATCCTTATCTCATATCCAATACCTAATCGACATCGACATTCTTATGTTAACTGTATTCAGTAGAAACAAGACATATACATGTACTGATGTATATGCAAGTAATGTAGATATAATATAGGTTTTTTTATTTCAAATACTTACAGGCTTTAGGTTCTGATATTCTTGAGCAAATTATTTGTGAAAATTTAAAAAAGAAAACTAGAGCACCATATTCCGAAGAAATTAAAAAGTTTTCAGTTACTCTTCAATACTACTCCCCAAAAGCTTATTTATATGTCCGTAAAAAGTTTAATAATTTATTGCCACACCCTAGAACATTAAGGCGATGGTTTATGGTAGTGAACGGACAACCAGGCTTTACAAAAGAGTCATTAGATACAATTAAAAATGTTGCTAGTAAAGAAACAATTTATTGTAATTTAGTCATTGATGAAATGAGTATTAGAAGACATATAGAAATGGATGCTCAACGAAATGTTTATGGCTATGTAAATTTAGGTGTACAATGTAATAATGTAGATGGAGATGAACAACCTGAAGCTAAAAATGCCTTAATGTTTTTAGTAGTTGGGATAAACGGCTATTGGAAACTGCCAATCGGTTATTTTTTTATTAATGGTTTGTCTGGCACAGAAAGGAGTAATCTTCTTGAAACAGCAATTGCCCTAATATCTGAAACAGGTGCTAATTTACACTCAGTGACATTTGACGGTGCTGCAGTAAATATGAGCATGGTTAAATCATTAGGAGCAAATTTTGATATTGATCACAAAATGGCATACATTTTAAATAAAACTACAAACGAACCAATATTTGTATTTTTAGATGCTGCACATATGCTAAAGTTGGTTCGTAACTCTTGGGGGGATAAAAAGTTTTTAAAAAATTCTAATGGAGAATCGGAATTTGTGGTTAAATACATTCAAAATGCTGAAAAGAAAATTATTAAATGGGAATATATTGAAAAATTGTACCAGTATGAATGTAAAAATGGTTTGCGAGCTGGAACAAAGCTAACATCTAGACACATTCAATACTTTGATGAAAAAATGAATGTTAGACTTGCAGCACAAACAATGAGTCAAAGTGTTGCAGATGCCTTAATTTTTTTAAAATCTTCTGAACCGGAGTTCTGTGACATAGATGCAACTGCAAAATTTATTATTTATATAAATAATGATTTTGATATTTTGAACAGTAGATCAAAATTTTCAAATAAACTTTTTAATAAACCAATATGTGCAGAAACAATAAATTTCTATAAAGAATTTATCAACAATTTTACTACTTATATTAAAGGTTTGGAATTCGTTGAATATAAAAAAGATGGACAACCTTGCATAACAAAAGTTTTAGAGTCTAATAGAAAAACAGGTTTTATGGGATTGATTATAGGTTTAATAAATTCAATACAATTAATTGAGTTCTTAATTCCAAAAAATTGTATGACATATCTGCTTACCTATAAGTTATCGCAAGACCATATAGAAACTACTTACATTTAGTGCTATAAGGAGTCGAGGAGGATATAATAATAACCCTACGTGTAGGCAATTTGCTGCAGCATACAAAAGGATTTTAGTTCATAATCAAGTAGTTGGCTCAGTTTATGGAAACTGCACAATATTAGACAATACAAAACATATGAGTGTTTCAGAACAATCAATCAATGAGACAAATATTGATTATGATTTTTTAGATGTAAGGGAGGTTGGATTATTTATTGAAAATGTAAGCTATTATGTAGCTGGTTTTGTGAGTAGAGCAATTGAAAAAAAAATTAACTGCGAAAACTGTAAAAAAATTTTGTATATAAATACATCTGATAGTAGTTCAAATAGAAGTCGGAAGTTGCTTAGTCAAAAGGACCGAGGAGGATTGTATAAGCCCAGTGATACTGTTATGAAAATATGCTTGGAAACGGAGAGAGTTTTTAGAAGCTATTATAATGTTAAAAATTACAAACAGTCAGTTTTGTTTTTAACTACTCAAGTTAAAATGAATTTATATCAATACAAGATAAGTTTCCAATTAAGTGGCTGTGATGATAATCATTCTATTGTTGATACACATAAAGATCAGTTAACTAAGTTAGTAATTCATAATATTTAGACATAAGGATGTTCCATGAAATAAGAAAACGAAATGACCAAACCAAAATAAGATCAAAGTATACCAAACTGATACTTTTCAAAAACCAATGACTGGCAATGAGGTATTAATCAGTGAACATATTATATTCTGTGATATTATGATATAATAAATAAATAATAATATTAAATACCTATTTTGTTTTTATTATAAAATTAATTTTTAAATTGTACTTTAATTCAAAATAATTAGGTTTAATAATTAATTCATTTTAGCTTATAATAATGATTAATATTTTTATAAAAAAAAAATCGCCTCACTTTGTTATCAGTCTTGGAACACCGATAAGAATCTGATGGCCTATCCATTTCTTTATTATCTATGGTTTTCACACATTTTAGGATTTAACTTATGAACAAACAAAAAACAATGAAATTCCTCATAGCAGGCATACAATAATGCTGATAATTGATTCATTTTCAGTGAAATTGTAGAAGTATTGACAATTCAGAGCAAATTATTATTAATCTATTCTTACGGCTAGTAAATGTATAAATCTTTGTTGTTACCATTAACCATCGGTAACAGGCATTGGAAAAAATATACAACACAAGTCATTTACTGCTAGTGTTTTCAATATCATAAATTCACAGGGCTCAAATATTTTTCCAACTTTCTGATATGAACACAGTTATTACTTATTACTTATTAGTAATACTAACATAAAGAATTGGTGTGTCAAGATTTACATAACTCGTTATGGAGTACATAAATATCGTATACACAAGACATAAACTAAGTGTGATTATCGAACTATTATAATATGTTTATACAATTTTTCAGACCAAGCATATTTTGAGCTAATAAATTCTAATAAGAGAAAAACTGCAATTAAAAAATACTTAATTCATTATAAGTTCATTGCCATTTTGACAAATTAAGTAATTACAAGTATATTTTATAATGGGGAACTTAGTGTGAATTGTTCAATTTCATAACACTGATGAAATCTTTCACTTATTTATATAAATAAATAAATGTTATTAACTTTTATAACGATAAAGTAATTAGTAGTTTTTAGTTTTTACCATATAGGAAATTGTATATAAGGAAAAGCCAGCAATAAAAAAATAAAATAAAATTAAGATGTGGAATTTATATACTTACTAACACATAGAAACAGAAATTTGTTTTAAAACATTGAACTAAACAATAGTTATTACTTTTTAAATTCCATTTGTCTTAAGTTTTACAATTTTACTTATGTTAAAAATAGACAATATAGTATAAGACAGTCCATTATATCATATTACATCATTGCTGTAACGGCTACCATTTGCAGTTTCTTCATCAGGTTCTTCTTTTTTAACCATATCTGGATCATAATCATCATGAGGACTGTTGTAACTATCATAGTCATTATTGTAACTGTCATAATTATTGTCATATTCTAAAAATAAAAAACATTTATAAGTAGGTAAAAGTTATAGACATTTTTTTACAATAGGTGCTAAAACATTATTTATTTATTTGTAGTTTAAATAAATGTTTGTAAAAAAAGTCTCCCAAAACAATCAATGTGTTTAAAATGAAAAAATAGAAAAATATATATCAACCATCGTCTTAAACATGTGATATTTAAAATTAAATTAAAGTGGGGAAACTACCATCAAAATTGAAGATCAGACATTTTTCTACTAGTCTTAAGGAATACAAAAAACACCATTATTCTTCATCTAAAATAAATATACTAACCATCAACAGGTTCTTGTTTAATATGAATTTTGTCATCACGTTCAGAATTGTCTTTATCATGTTTATCACGGCGATCTTTACTCCTGTAGAATATAAAATTAAGTTTGAGTTTCTAAAACTGCTACAAATTTAAAATGACACTTTACTTGTCTCGGCGATGATGATCTCTTTCTTTGCGATCCTTCTTACGTTCACGGTCCCTAGAACGACTGCGCTTTCTTTTTCTTTCACGATCATGATCTTTATCTCTAGATTTGGTAACGGGAACCTCCTCAACTTCATCATACTCTGCATCCCTAGCACCACGATCTCTGCTACGACGTCTCTTGCGTTCGCGAGAACGTCTATAATGAATTCACATATATTAATATAATTATAATAACTTATCGGCATAAATGCATTTCACTAGGCACCCATGTTCAAAATTTATTTTTATTTTTTATAATCCAGAGTATCTAAAATGCTTGTTAGGAAAATCTAAAAAGAACTTTAAATAAGCAATTTTAGTATTAAGCGCTCACACCTTAAAATTGGATTTACAGTCACTTTTCTAGGGTGTCTATGCATAAAAATGAAAGGGTTTTTTTTCGATTTGCGAAGTGAAGCGGCGAAAGAGCAAAGCTAGAAGTGCCAATCAACAAATAAACTTTTTAAATAACTAGAAAAATATATTTACTCTTTAATATGTATAGTAGGTTATGTATTAAAAGAATAATTTATTGATATAGACCACAGTCATGACTAAGCATTATTTGGATTGGACTTATTTTTCCTAGGGTTCCAAAAAAAAAATTGTAAAATAAAAAGGTGCCTGGAAAGTGTATTTGTTCCAACGTTGTATTGGATGTGGTACTAATTGTGTTACAATCCAGTACATAAAATTAATTATATTATTATTCTCAAAACTAGTTATAAAATAAGTATTTAAAAATGTAGGAATTAAATCAGACACCTAAGTAATTTAGTAATATAATTTCAATTAAAAATTAAACATTATTTTAAAATTTGAGTCAAATTATGTTGGTAACTTATTTAAAGATTGTTTTTTTAAAAGTTTAAACAATGTTAGACTTATAAAAAAAAATGACTAGCACAAGTTGTATTTTCAAAATTTAAAAAGTTTTGTTTAATAACACAATAAACATACACTTTACAATAAAAACAAAATTTAACTGTATAATGTCAGTTTTTTTAAATAATTTGTGGTCAATCACATTTAACACTTCATAGTTTTATAAATTGTTTTCAACAAATATGTGTAGATTATAAATATATTTAATACATACGACTTAGAACGATGACGTTTTCTTTCGCGGTCTCTACTACGAGGACGCCTTGGTTCACGTTCACGATCCCTATCACGGTCACGGTAATCACGTTCTCGGTCTCTTTCTGTAGTAACACTACGTCCGGAACGACTACCAGCCATTTCACGAGCATACCTTTCTCTTTCTCGTTCATTATCTTCCCTACCAGAATGTTTCAAATTGACTTCTGGTCCACCTCGTCTAGTACCACCTAATCCACCTCCTTCATAAATTAAAAAAAACCATTAATATTATATTATATTTTATACTTTTATAGTTATAAATTAGGTTAAAATGAATTTACCCAATCTTCTGGGAAGCCATCCTTTGACTGTGCGTGCTCTCTCAACATCCACCAACACTCTGCGTCCATCAATCTTTTTTCCATCAGCATGTTTATAAGCAGCTATAATAAATGTTATTGGGGGAAAACAATTAGAGTGAACTAAGACTTTATGTAAAAACTTTGATGTCCTTAAGAAAATTGAATACCCGTCCCAACTCAAATGAAAATGTATAACCAGTTATTGAAACTCTTGAATAAAATTGTAAACTGAAGAGTTGATAAGATAGCACAGATTGTATCTTTGAAATGTATTGAAACAAATTTAAAGTACATCGGCACCAAGACTTACCAACCTCAACAAAACAAGTCTAAATCTCGTAGAAAAAATTAGAAAATAATCAAATATTTAAGTACCTACCAATTATACTTATTTGCTATTCCCAGATTGTTTTTTTTAGCGCAGTTTGTAATGCCAAGTGAATCCAAAATTTGTCGATTTTTTTTACTTTACCTGGGACGCCAATACTTACAATGGGCGCAAAATTTTTTTTTTACCCAGTAAAATTAGGAATAAGAAGAATGTGTAAATGAAATAAAAATATCACGTTTTCTTCCACCAAATTCACATTATCTTACCTTTGCATATATTCATGCTCGAAAGAATAAAATAAAATGTAAAATATACTATTATTTAAACAAACAACATTACAGTTTACCATATTCTGTAATGTCACTAACATTACAGTTTACCATATTCTGTAATATCCCTAAGTTGTGTAATATCCCATGAGTTGTTTAATTTTTTTGTATATTAACTAATGTAAGTTGAAAGTATTATTCTCTTTAAAATTAAAAAATAAATAAATAACACTTGTTAACCAATAATTATGGGTTACTGAAGTAACTAATAAGTAATGTACATTTAAAAATGCATTGTACTTGAGAAAATTTTTGGAAACTGAAATGATGGGTTAATTTGTTTTGTAATTTGTATGTTGGGCTTACCACACATACAAACCTATTATCAACAAAGTCGTCTACGTATAATCACAGGGTCATTAAAGAAGCTCCAATCAGCGAGCTCTTCACAGTTCACTGCATCAAGAACAAAATACAATTATTAAAACTGTACCAGAATTTTTTTTTTTTAAATTTTGAATTTTAAAGATCAATGTTTTTATTTAAGTACGCGCAAGGGTTGATAGAAACCAAGTATTTAAAAAAAAATTTCAAAACTGGCGAGTATTCAGATCTTGAAATTTTGCAGAATTAGTTGAAATTAAGGAGTAAATTGATTGTACTAGCCACGCATATTTTGAAGGTTATAAAATTTCAGAATATTTTTTAAGGAACCAGTAATGAACATAATAAAAAGCAAACACACAATTATAATACTATATCTATTTGAGTATGGGTTGTTAATTTGTAATTATGTTAAGCAAAGTTGCATTTTTACTATCTAAGTTATAACTCATAATGTAATGAACATTTTCAAATAATTATAAAATTGGAAATTAAACGCTCAGGCATGTAGGCTGTAAACAACTATTTTTCAAAATATTCATAGGCCAGTAAAATCAATTTTGGTAGAATTTGACCTCAACAATCGCCATTTGAGACCACCAGGCCATTTTTTGAAAACAAAAAATAATTTTTATGTTAATTACTTACAATGCATATCACGTTCATATTCGTACTCAATGAAAGCATACCCTCTCGGTTTACCATCAATCTTATTATGTGTGACAACAATCTATATAAATGAAATGCAATGTTAAGATAATACAAAATACAAAAGGTTTAAATAAAATAATTTCAATAATTTACCTTTTTTATAGGACCATAAAGTTCAAATTCTCTTCGTAATTTTGATTCAGATGTATCATAATTCTAAAACGATCAATTGCATTAAAAACATTACCAATACATATATTTCACTAATTAATATATATAAAGATGTATAAGGGTAAACTGTAATTCTTTATTCGGTATACTGGTTGCTTTCTATTGGTAAAGTTAGTTATGTGACCTCTATGTCCCATAAAACTGGCCACCGTCAATAATATTGAATGATAAAGTAACATTTATAGTAATTATTAATATTAGTGAATCATTCAACTATGTTAAGGCTGATAGTGAATCAAATCACAAATTACAATATTTAGTGTAGTGTTGTGATAATTTTGTAAGATTAATATTCTGTTTGTCAGTAAGTTTATGAGAGAAAATGTATTGTTATTTGATATTTTTAATAACGAAGGAGCAATGGTCAATTATTTGAAAAATAGAAGTTTGCTTCTGTTTGCTAAATTAAAAATTGTATTTATTTATTTATATGCATCTGTCTATCTAGTAATTTATATGTACATAAATATTTTTGTATGATTAAAGTTACGTAAGTATTAAATTATAAAAGTTTCTAGGGGTTAAAAAGAAATGTAGGCTATTGTAACTTTGCTTAAGAACCAGAGCCAAATAGTATAAGAATAAAAAATTATACCTTCTGTATAAACAACAAAATTACTTACAATTCTAGCAACAAATAATGTTTTAAATGGATCTGTTGTAGCATTTGCAACTGAATGCGGTTCCCCTGAAACGGAACAAGAACAAATGATAATTCACACTCCACATGTGCCATATAAACAAAGACAGTGTCAATGTGGTGCTTACATAGAGCAATTTCTTGTTCTAACTTGTACGCAACCTGTTCGGCCTTCTCACGACGACGGCGCTCTAGTCGTTCTTCTCGGGTTTCAATTTTTGTTGGAGGAGGCGTGTCTTCGGGATCCTGTGGAGCAACAACAAGACAAGATCATAAAAGGTATATTACGTAGGTGTGAAGAACAAACACTGGAGAGTCTCAACTTAACGTAATTATTAAGTTCGGCCATACTCACTTCAAACAAATCCATAAAACTCCCAACGCCCAGATAGCCACGGGTCTTCTTCTCGTGCGGCAGTTTGGCGACCGGCGGCAGGTAAGGGACTGGGTCCCTCGGCGCGAAAAGCGCCAGCAAATTGGGCGGCAGGAATTGAGTCATTGTGAGCTATGCTTATGCGCCTATTAAGTTCTGGCTTGACGCGGAGTACACACAAACAGAAAAACTGAACACATTCACAATTAACAATTAACAACGATAAAAACGACTATTTAGCGATTTACCCTTTAGTAATTAGTATTTAGTACACACTACGCCGCGTCCCTGCGTCCAACGCTGTCGAATTCGAAGAAGTTATAATAACAAAAATGGTCGACCATTTTAATCAAAAGTCATGGAACAAAAGACACGGTGCGTCGGAACATTACCTTTTGTTCCACAAGATTTTTGTTCCGAAGTCAACTTGTTCCAACATACATTTGTGGAACAACGTGTATCGGAACTAGGACAGGTACCTAATAATAATTGTGAAACGTGCGAAATTTTCAAGAAAAATCGATACTCACGGTTCAAGATATATTCAAGGTGGTATACTACCAAAAAGTCCAGGGTAAAAAAGTCCTGGGAAATAGTTCAAGTAAAAAAGTCCATGGTTAAATGTCCTTGGTGAAAAAATCAGGTAGGTACCTAAATATAATTATAGGTAAGAGAAAAAATGTTTAAATATGATATGATGGACATTCAAACCTCCAATTTAATTTGTATTTGTATTAATATAATTTGTAACTAAATGATTTACCTGACGAAATTAATAAATAATCTCGTAGGTACCATTGTACCAATATCGACAAAATATTCGCAAATATTGTGATACATGGTACTCGGTAAAAAAGACCAAGGGAAAAAAGAACAATTTTTAAAAATTTTAAACAGTGTCCCACTAATGAATATTTTTTTAAAAAAAATTTTTAATATAATATAGACACTTATGCTTTATTTTTGGTATTATTTACTATAAAAAAAATCAGGGTTGGAATCCAACCGTTGGATGTTTTAAACTGATTTGTTTTAAACACGTGTTTAAAACTTTGTTTTAAAACGCATTTATTAAAATACAAATGTTTTTAAACAATTGTTTAAAACAACTGTTTTTAACATGTTTTTTAAAACACATGTTTTAAAATGTTTTTTAAATCTTAATTTTAAAATTTGGGTTAAAAACTCATTAAATAATAAATATGTAAATTGAAATTTTTATTAAAAATTCATTATTTTATAAATAGCAAATAATAACATAATATAACATAATAACATAATATAATTTAGGGCCACTGCCCACTGGTTAAAACTTTTATACTTTATAATAGTATTAAAACAATTGTATTTAATGGTAAACATAAATCATTTTAACTTTTTAAAATACAAGATACTAGTGTCTGACTACTCTGACTAGTGCATAAAAAAAAATTATATATTAATATTAAATAACAAATAATAGTTCTCAATTTAGAGACTTAAAAATGGTGACTATAACAAATAATAGTTCTTAATTTAGAGACTTAAAAATGGTGACTAATTTAGCTGCTTTTTCATTACCTAATCTATTTCTGATGTCTGTGTGAACAAGTCCAAAAGTTGAAAAAACTCTTTCAACTCCAGCACTTGAAGCCACAGCAGTATGAAGTTGATTGACTACTTCCATTGTTTCACTATTAATATCCTTACAAATAGACTTCCACCAAGTTAAAGGATGTACACTGTCACTAACTGCAGTTTCTGAAAACATATATTCCTTGAATGGATGTGTATTTGCTTTATATTTAAGAATATCAGGCAAAATATCTGAGTGGTATGCTAAAACAAAATCCATAGCTTCTTCATTTTGTTTTTCTTCCAACTTTATTCCACGGAATCTTGGATCCAATATGTAGGCTAAGTAGTGAGCCGGTGAGATGGCCATATCAAATCGATATTCTAGTTTTTGAACCATACTTAACGGTACTTGGTTTTCTTCATAAAGGGTTTTAAATTGTTGTTTTAAATTGTTTAAAAACATATTAAAAAACATGTTTTATTTTGTATTTTAACATATTTTATATCAAGAAAACACAATATGTTTTAAAACAATTAAAAACAATTAAAAACAATAAAAACATGTTTTTTGTTAAATATTATAAAAAAACGTTTTTTACCCAACCCTGAAAAAAATACAAAACATAAATTTTTGATTTAGAACGTTCATCGAATTTGAAGACACATTGAGCATAAATCTCGACTGGATTTGTACAGGATTTCTTAGCCATTAATTTCATTTTTGATACTGCTTTCATAACATTTACTTCGGATTGGTTCTCAGGATGATTGTGTTCTATTGTCACGGTAGGATCAGTTTTCAAAATACTAGTCCTTAGTATTCCAGCACAATTTGTCGTATTTTTAGTCGAAAATTTCCATGTAAAATAGTTTTTACCTTTGTGCTTTGTGTTTGTGATATAAGTATATCCTTCAAAAGCTACTTTTCACCTCCTTTATTAGATTTAAAAGTTTCCATTTCAAATGTATTTAAAAAATTGAAGTATAAAAATTTAATGAAAACACTTGAACACTTCAATGACTGTCAATAGACTAAAATATGTTCACTCAAATTATAGCTCTAAAGTATGAAAAGTTTACATGGGAAATTTCCAGTAATAAAATGTTGTTTTATATTTTACCACTAGTTATATTTTATGATAAAGTATGAAAAGGTCACCTATAGTCAACTATAAGGGCACTAGGATTACTTGGGGCACTTCCAGTAATAAAAATGCATCTTACTCTATATTATTATACTAACCTTTATTGTATTTATGTTTCTTATTTTTTTTATAATAAATAATAATAATAATAATAAATAATACCAAAAATATAGCATAAGTGTCTATGCATTAAATTAAATTTTTTTTTTTTTAAATATTGATTAATGGGACACTGTTTAAAATTTTTAAAAATTGTTCTTTTTTTCCTTTGTTCTTTTTTTCCGTGTTCTTTTTTTCCTTGGTCTTTTTTTCCTAGATTCGTTATACACACATATATACCGGGATTTTGTTGTTTAAGATAGTTAGTATAAATAGTCAATACTTTATTCAACTAAGGAATTATAGTAATGTATATTGTGTATATTATGATGGCTATCATGATATTCATTGAATTTTTTTTAAATTTATTATTTCAAATATTATTCCATAATGTATGTATTGGACTTTTTTAAATCCCGAATTTTTTAGGCTTAGGACTTGTCTACTTCGGACTATCTTAACGCGGTTTATTTAAAATATATCTTTAATCGTGTCGATATGTGATAGGTTATTGACCGAAATCGAATATAGATATTAGATATCAGTATCTATAGCTGCGATTGTGAGTTATGCAATCTCCTAGACTTGTGGCCATGAATTAAGATATTATACTGATTAGTGTTTATCTTAATTCTTAATTCATGCTCGTGGCGGACTCCGGTCTCCGGATGACGGTGCCACAGTGGTCTGATTTTGAAAACTGGCGAGAGTCCTTTTTTTTTTCCAATAAACCATAGGTAGGTTGGGTACCTATTCTTTATATTGAATCCCGGGAAAAAAAGAACAATTTTTAAAAATTTCAAATATATTCATTGATTATGAAAAAAAAAAAAAAAATACTCGCATGCATTTTTAATTAGCGTGTAAAGTGATCACTTACTACGTACACATTTACACGGCCCAAATGCACATAAAAAATTGCCTACATTGAGCTACCTCAAAACGGTCGGTATCAAATCCCCTTTGAAAAATGTATATTTAATTTAATAATTAAAAATACTGAAGTATAATAATGTATTTCTTTTGAAAAATCTTATTGTTTTTATTCCATAAAACTATGTGAAAAATACATCTTTCATTCTTCATCTTTATATAGGTAGTATATTTAAATATATATTAAATACAGTACAACTTTTTTTTTTCGCTTAAACCGACAGCAGAGGAGGATCTGTTTGAACACTACTATACTCCTCTGCTGCCATCGTTTATTAATGTTGAATAAAAACGCTAATACATACACATACATAATGCATAAATAAATTATGGTTGCTTCGCCTTAAAAATAAAAATATTAATACAATAATAATTACAATACATTACAATACGATACAATAAGTAAATAAAGTCCGTCGGTAATCACGGTCCGCTGTCGAGTGCATCTTCGTGTGCTCAGTCAGTTGGGGCGGCTGCCAATGCATTCGCTCTTCGATCGGTCTCAGCTATCCTTTCATCACGCTCCTTACAGCTTAAAATGTTGTCGACCATATCGTAAAAGGACTGAGTGGCGCGTTGAGAGGCAGCCTGTAGCCGGTCGTTCTCGCTGGGCGGGACATCAGAGGGGCCGCATAACAAATCCTGAACGTCATCCGGGGTTATATTTCGGTTACCAACAAACATCTTCACTGGCAGCCGAAGCGGATCCCAGTAAGCACAATCAAAGATCGTGTGCTTCGCAGTGTCCTCCGGGTGTTGGCAGTGCAGGCAAGCCGCATCAGGGGCGCGCTTCATCCGGTGCAGGTAGTACCTGAAACACCCGTGTCCCGTAAGAGCCTGCGTTACATGGAACGCGAGGTCTTTGGGACACCTTCTCGTCCATCTTAGCAGGTCCCGAAGAATCGTCCAGGCTCCTCTAATGCTACGACTCCACCTGTTCGACCAGGCAGCAAGCAGGATGTCACGCTCTGCTCTCCGGATCTCATCCTTTGAGTCTGCTCTGTCCGGGTCGTCAAGTTTACTTCGGCCGAGACTGTGCGGTAGGCCCTCGTGACTCTGAGAGCCGCAATCCTCTGTGCCCGAATCATGAGGTTTCGACAGATAGCCTACTTGCATGCTCTTTCCGCCCACGTTGGACAGGCGTACAGCAGCATGCTGTTCACCACTGACATTAGCAGCGCTCTCTTGGACTGTGAGGGTCCTCCAAGGTTGGGTATGAGCCGTCCTATAGCCAGTGCTGCCTGAGACGCCTTCCCCGAAACAGTAGTGAAGTGTCCACTGAATGTAAGGTGAGAGTCCAGATGGAGTCCTATGTATCACAATTTCCTTAGCAAAGGAACTGTGTGACCCCCTACAGCGAACACCGGATCCCGATACGCCCACTTCTTAGTCAGCATGATGGCCTCGGTCTTGTGCCGTGCTAGTTGAAGTCCATGAGCGCCCATCCATCCAAAATACAGTACAACTTGACACTTGTGGTATAATAATGAGTAAAATACATTTGTATTGGGTACTGGAAATTCAGTATGTATAGAGATCATAATTATTATGACCTTTTCATATTGCTAAATGATTTATAAAATAGGTTTTTTTGGAATTTTAATATTTTTGTTGATTAAAACAAATTTTAATTCTTAAATGAGTGAATAATAAATTGGTCTCTGTATACACTTATTACAAATGTATGTATTTTTTAATTTTCATAATCAATAAGTATTATATTTTACATTTTTAAAAATTGTCCTTTTTCAGTATTTTTTTTTTCCTTTGTCTTTTTACCTATTAGCATTTATATTGAATGACGTTTAGGGTATAGTTTAAGTATAGCTATAGGCCTATGGTAAATACGGTATTCGATTGTATAACTAAAATTATGGTTTGACACCTTTCAACAGCCGATTGTGTAAATAAATAGTTATCGTTTAATACATTTTCATACTTTTGGTTCTTAAAGTAGGTAGATATTACATCATGTTTAGGTTTAAGATATGTATTTTGTTAGTTCATTGCAGTCTTCTGTCGTCCACTCATCCAGAGTGTTGTAATTAACACAATTATATTACATAATACTTGTTTATACACATTAGGCATATACCATAAGCATATATAGGGGGGCTTAGATCGTCATCTCACCTGATAATCGATGAAAATATTTAATTATTATTGAGGGAATTACTCAAAAAAACATCATTGGTGACCAATTTCCTAATTTTTATCATGGCTAAAATACTTTATTCATAGCCGGAATAGTTTTAAAAGTAGGTGCCAGTATTTAAAATATAAATAATTGAACATAATGTTCATTTTATTTTTATTATACTTACCTAATTATTATGTGTTAGTTTGTAGTTTTGTACAACTAACTTTAACACTGTATTCATGAACGAATTACTTGTATACCTAATGAAAAAAACATTTATTTACATGTTAGTTATCTACTATTATAGATTATAGAACTAGACTGCAGGAAAAGTATTCTATTCTCTAATGTTTTTTTTTTTTTTTATTGATCTTGATTAACATCGGCAACAAAGGCTATTAGTTACAATTTTATAAATATATACAATTATACTTTTTTTACATTTAAACTTTAATTTTACTATGCAGATTTGTTTCCCTCAAGAATCTGTGTGGTGGTTTCCACGTCTGGTGCGAGTGCTGCATCCAGTGTGTTGGGTATGTCAAAATTCTAACGTTCCTCCATGTATTGGAGGCACTCGGTAACAAAATGATTGACCGACAGTTCAGTTCCACAAGAAATGCACCATCTCTAATGTTTTGTCCATTTGTATTTTGATAGTTCATACCTACATGGATTTAATACTATTACTATTTATTTTTTATAGTTTAGGTATTTATTTTATTTCAATAATTTATAAATATTAAACCAATTAATTATATGTTAACTAACCTAACCGCAGAGCGCGTCTTCAACTTCTATCCTGAAGGTTGATCCGGAAGTATTGAGATAAATGACATTTATAAGAATGGAACGAAATAGGTAGGCGAGGACGTATTGGTCGTATTGGAAATTTAGAACCTTTTAGTTTGTTCGTCTCAGAGTTTCAGACAAATGTTGTTGGCGCTACTAGCGTTCAGTGCTAATATAAATAATAAAAATATATAACACTGATTGCGCTTTCACACTATGAAATAGAAATAATAGATAAAATACGTATGTGCGTGATCTGACTATAATTAATAAGAGCAATATATATAATATAAAATATAATTTTTTATGATGCTTGATTAGCACATGAATATAATGTGTGCCTCAGTCGGCCAAAGTATACAAATGAATATAATAATGAATATGAGTATAACAATAAATATGATTTTAAGTGCTTGATTAGCACATGAATATAATAATAACTGTAATTTTTAAAGTGCTTGATTAGCACATGAATATAATATGTGCCTCAGTCGGCCAAAGTATACAAATGAATATAATAATGAATATGACAATTATTGTTTTACAGTGGCAATATAATAAAATATAAAATGTATCAACAAAAAACAAAATACTCACAGCCACAACACAGGTGGTTACCTAAAGCGGTGGATTTTATCCCACGCGACCGTGCCGGGGACGTATTTATAGTAATAATAATAATACACAAATTTTAATAATATTGACAACCGCACACGTGCGACCGCTTTGGGATAACCACTGAAGAATCAAGAATATAACACAGGAAAAGCACCACAAACAAAATGTAGACCAAAATATGACCACCCTGCTGAGAAAAGTATAATAATATAATAGTTGTGCATATAATGCTTTTAGGAACAATACGTTACCAATAATGAAAAAAAACCAATGATGTATTGATGTGAAGGAACTGACTGGCACATGTGCTTTTATATACGAGAAAACAATCACGATGACTTCGGACCGAATAATAATGAAAGAGAAGCGATCGGAGCCGGTGCGTCCAGCCTTTTATAACCTTTGCTGAGGACAGTGTCATCGAGATACAATAAAATAATAAATTTAACACAATATTTGATGACACTGACGCACAACAGAGATTATACAGAAAAAAATAAATAATAAAAATAGAAAATCAGCGGACAAAACCATAATAAAATAAAAGCTACGAATATAAAAATTTAAGAAATAAAGATTAACGGACTGTCGCAGTCACAGGCCATCCACTATCAGCTTGATAAGAAAAAATGCTATCGCAAGCTGAAATATTGCTGACAGTGGGACAACGTACGCAGACTACGCAGTCTTGCCAAAATATCGCGCTGCAGTTGGCGCGAACAAAATATGTCATTTGCCAATATTGCCATGGATTATTTAGAAATTATAACATTTATAACCTAACCGATGAATTTATTTTTAACATTAAAATTTTAAATTGTGTATCAGACAGACCATAAGTTCTGCCAACCTTATCAAATAATCTCAGTAGATAACCGCGGTCGTGATATGAGTTTGTAAGGTTATGTTCGTAATTATCTTAATGACGATTAGATATTTTGATCAACAATAAATTGAAGCTGAACAAAGTGAGTTAAAACCTAATAAACCTATACCTAACTATAACAGAACTTGGAAATATTCATTATTACTTAGAAAAAAAGCTCTTCACTATGGACGTTAAACATCAAAACTGGATTCCTGGAAACTTTAAGAGTGTTCCCGATACTGGACGTTCAGGTTAGTTAAAATTATAATATATTTTTCTAGTTAGAAAACACTTGTTTTTGATTTAATCGACATCAAAAAATGAAAAGTTAGTCCACCACAATAACCGTCATCCTTTGGTATCATGCCTGCCAAATTACAGAGAAACCACTATATGTTAAGAAATTATTAGACAGTATTTATATGGTCCTATTTTACTGAAGTATAATAGAGATATTAATTACTAAACAAATTTTTTTTTCAAATGGTTGGTTTTTGATTATTAGCACAAAATGATGTTGTACAACACGGCTGGACTCCAATCACAACTACTACTTCTGTGCTTGGTGTTGTGTTTGAATCTGGTGTAGCTTTGGCTGCAGATACACTTACTTCGTATGGTTCTATGGCATGTTTCCAGAATAATCCCAGAATATTGACGGTATGATCATTTTATATAGTGTTTTAATCATTATTGGGAGGTACCTTAAAAATTAACTTTACAATTCAATAAATCATGTTGTTTTAACAGGTAAATCAAAATATTATTGTAGCTGCTGCAGGTGAATACTCTGATTACCAATTTATTAGAGATGTTGTTGAAGAAAAAGTAAGGACTGAAAAGAGCCTCAATGATGGAATATCGATGAAACCAAAAGCTTTACACACTTGGCTGTCCCGTGTCTTGTACAACCGCAGGACCAAGATGAAGCCACTTTGGTCTACATTCTTAGTGGCTGGAGTCCAAAACGATGTTCCCTTTTTGGGTGAAATCGATAAATTGGGAACAGCATTTGTAGATGAACAAATTGCTAGTGGGTATGGTGCATACCTTGCACTGCCATTGATGCGAAAAGCTATTGATGAAAAGCGTGAAAAATTCAATTCTAAACTAACAAAAGATGAAGCCATTGATCTACTCAAAAAGTGCATGGAAGTGTTGTACTACAGGTATTTGAAAATGATTTATTTCTATCTCAATCTGTGTTTCTAAATTTGTATGCTTTATTGCTTATTTTACTCATTAATCCTAGATTCAATCTAATTTGTTTTAAATTCACAATTAACTATTATGATGTATGTTGCAGAGATGCAAGGAGCCACGATAAATATCAAATTGGTATTGTTACTAAAGACTCTGTAGAAATACAAAATCTTGTGTTGAAGCCGAGATGGGAAGTTGCCAAGCTGGTACAAGGATATGAATAAGCTTGAATCTTCAATAACATACAATTTTATCTTATCATTATTTTTAAATAATTATTACATTTATGTAGGGATTACTTTTTTTTTTGCTAATAAAAATGTGTATCATGGAAAATTATTTTTTAAATTGATCATTTTTTCTATAATTATATACAGTATAATATAAACTCTATCTTGGATTATTATATGTACATCCACTAAATCCAAATTTAATCTTTGAAAGGGGAATATTTTTCTGTACTATTGTAAGTAGAGGTGAGAAGTGTAGAATCATGCAACATTTTGGTCCACTATTTAACTCATCTAGTCTTAAATACTTATAACTCGTCAACTATACTCAGTTAAACTACAGAACACGCGGATTCTGCCCATCCCCCTGCTACCAAAATCGGTTCCCTTTATGCTGGGTGCCTTGTGTTCTCAGAATATACTATTCTTTACGTTATGTAAATTACATGAACTATGTACATTAAATAATGCAGCTAGCATATTATACTGCTAAAAATGTATTTTGGTTTATCCTAAGTCAAAAAATCCATTTTCAATGAATGTGTTTTACAGCTTATGCAAAAAAAAATACTTTTTTGATTAATTAAAAGGTTGCTATAGGTTACATATTATATTACTATTATAATTAAATTAGAAATATGACATAAGTTTTGATACAAATATCTCCATAATATATATTGACATCTTTGATGGGAGACAGCTAGTTCTATAATATTGTGTTTTATTCTATATATATTTATAATTCTATCTTTAACCATGGTTAAAATTAACAATATTTTATCAATTATTATTGAAAATAAACATTTTAAAAACATTTCATCCGTTAATTAAATAAATCAAAAAGAGAAATGATGGTTTGAAAATTATACCATGTATAGAAAATGCTAACATAAACATTTGGTAAGTACATAATAATAATTTAAAGTCTTTAGAGTTATTAATTTATAAACTGCTTTTGGGTAAGACTTGTTTTTCCTAATTACTTTGAAAAGTATTTTTTACTGCTCCAAATCATGATGATAGACGCATAAATAAAAAACAAATCATTGTTAAATCAATACATTCTTCGGAGTTCTTAGGATCTAAAATGTAGTTCAATAAATTGGATTTATTATTTTTATTGTACACATTAAATATATTTAAGATATTAATATCAATGACCACATGATAGGTATTTTTACTGTATTTATACAAATATGCCTAATACAATTAATGACATATTGACTGATAAAAAAACAAATACAATGCATATTATACAAATAATTGAAATTACAGTACATAAAAAAAACTACTTTTTCTCAGAAAATTAAAATAATGATTTAATATAGATGACCAAGGAATCGAATATATTATTTAAGACAGAAATATAGTAGTATTAAATATTACTGATAAGTAATAATAAATGGAGAAAATGGATAAATGAGGTTTCCTTAAATGTTAAAATAATAATATTATTAATGTTATAACAATTAATTAAGAATAGTATGACGATCATAGATATTTTTTCTTTGTTCTTTCACCTGTTTCTTCCATTTGTCTTGTTGATGTCCAAATCGGTTAAGAACATTACTGCTGTTGGCTACAGAAACCATTGGATCACTTCCTCTCCTTGCATTTAATGATACAGCAGGAGGGGCGACATCGTCCTATATTCCAAAATGGTTGGTAAATAATGTTTATTAATACACTTTTTAGTTAATGTCCAATATAAATAAATTAGAAAGACAAGTACCTAATAATTTAAATAAGAAAACCAATAAAAAATACAAACACATGCACTAAATTATTTAAAACTTCTAAAAAACAAAAAAAAATTATAATTATTATAAGCCTACCATTTGTCGTACAATATGTATCTTTAATATTTTTTTAACACACATTAAGGGCCCACATAGTGTAATAGACACATCTAGTGTATCCAGAAATTAATATGATTAACAACATCAAACACACTGATATTGTGATGATCAAGTTAAAAAATGTGTACATTATTCTAGTGACAGAAGAGAAAACAAAACAAGCACAACAATACAAAACTCAAATAATATGTCCAACTACAACAATATTTACTGTATAAACCACAACTTTTGATGAATTTTTGTAATTTTTCCAATTTATTTTGACATGGTCAGGTTGAAATATTTTTGCATATCACGGAATGTTAGGAAAGAACTGCTGTTATTATATACTTGGTAAGAAAAGTTGGGAGAGAATTGGTTGGACTTACAAAACTACCGCTATCGGATATGGTCGCCTCCAATAAAGAACATACCTCTTCGTTGGTGTGCTCTACGTATGCGCCAACTAGCTTGCGTCTCCTCATCATTGGCTCCAGACATAGCAGGAATAACATGTACATCACCAAACACGATATCACACACAGCACAATTAATACAACCACCTAAAAAACATATGTTAGAATTAGTAACATACTCAAATTATGTTAGACAAACTTGTTACTTTCATAGTTGTGGTGTTTCTACTCTCATAAGTACAAGTGCATCGTGGGCATAGTTCTTTTTTTGTATTATTCACTTCACCAATAATTGGTAAGCTTACTCCGTTACAATCACTGAAAAACAATTAGATAGTAATTATTAATTTTTAATGTCATAACTTATAATACAAAAATATATAAGACATTATTTTAACTCACTTGCTGGGAAGAACATTAGCTATATATAATTTATTATACATTTCTGTACCATTCACTATAGTACACACACATTTGCAACGGGCATCTTCATATGATTCAGCCTGAAAAATATTTGTGTAAAATTAGAAAAAACATGTTTTCTAAAAAGTGTTCTATTCGCTTGGCAGTTATAAACATATAAATAAATACAAAAAAAAGTAAATGTATATTATTAGTATATACATAATATTTTGCTTAAAAACAATAGTAAGGTACCTATCAGGACTTATTTTAACATACATTCTTACATACTTTGCGTAGCTTCAGTTAAAAAATGTGAAGAAGTGAGAGGATTAGTATACATTTTTGGTATGGGGGTGGATCAAATGAAAGTTATGAGAATGTAGAAAAAATTCTTAAAATAAACCCTGACCGATGTGAAATAATATTAAATTGTAAAAGAATAAATATCTATATTCAATATGACATTGTGTAATACAGGGAAATTAAAATGAGGTTTAATAGGTATGGTAAAACACAAATTCATAGAAAAAAAAATACTAAAAAAGATGTAAATCTATGTTTGTACTTAGAGAGATTCAATTTTTTGAAAGATATAAAATATATAATTATATTATACAAAAATTTGATTTTATATATTTTGTCAATATATTCTGTACTTATTTCATTTATTCACGTATAATTTATTAATTTTTTGATATAAATAGGACACCTGGTCAGTTGGGTTATTGACCTATGTTTATAATTAGGGAATTTGAACTTATATCTAATATAATATACCTATGACATAATAGAAAAATAAACAAATTTAGTAAGTATTTGTTTTCAGATTTTTTCTATGATTCTAAGTACACAATAATATATTTATTTTGCAAACTCGTAAGTTATGGTATGTTACAAAAACAGTGATCAAACCATTTGTACAATTCTTTGACCATCAACTATTATTTTATAGTTTATAGGTAGGTAGTCGAAACATTAATTTTTATATTTTACAAGCTGGATATGTGGTACACCTCCTCCATCACTTCCATTACTCTTGAAGACACGCTCAAGAGTAAGATGAAAATATTTGAAACATGTAATTTAATAATTAACCGACAACATAAATTAATTAATGTGGCTTGGTGTGGCGCATTGGCTGTTACCAGTAGTGGAATGCGACTGTGAGTAAGTAATGGCCACAGCTACTAGCTCCCGGTTGGGTGACCACCCGGTTTCATAGTAGTTAAAAACTTTGCCACACGTACAAGTGTTTTTTCTACCTACTGGAACAAATGTAAAAAAAACAAACCTACCATACCAACCTTACCCCCACCAGAGTTCATAACCCCTACAACAGCTAATTAGCCTTAGACGCCGGGCTTAAGTTCAATAAAAAAATAAAAAAATAAACGAATATATTAAAATAATATAACCTAGGTACTTAAAAGATTAATTAACAGTAGGTATTAAGATTTGTAATTTTTGAATAGGTAATTAAAAATAAACTCCTTTTAAAATGAATATTTTAATATAATGAATTTTAAACATTAAGAGCCTGGTCATTAGAAATATATTTTATACAGTAATTACTCGCACTTAACTAATTGAAAGATAAACAAACACATTGTTGTGGTATGTGAACAAAAATGTCCAAAATTGTCAGGTAAAAAGCTTACCTTCAACAAGGTGATCAACGATAATACGCCCACCATAACAGGAATCTTGATCATTTTGCGTTGGACTATGACACCTAATAGAAGTTACGTTTAACAGTTGACGGTGGTATGGTAGGAAAAAGTATTGAGCATGACAATATTATTATAACTAAATTGTTTTAAAACTTCGAGAATTTAGTGACAGAAAAAACAGTAACAGGATCGACAATAGCTTTAAACAAATACTATAATAACGATCAATCACGACCGTTCAATACATTTTTTATTTTTAAAGGTATTAACATGATTAACATAATATTAAATTATATTATAAATGTTGTATTTATGATTGGGGTGTTGTTGTGTTAACGCGAATAATAATTGTAAAAAAACTAAAAATGTATAAAAAACTAGGCATGTAACAACTACTTCAGATACATATTATATCATAGTAAACAGTAAATACCAAGTAGAAGTAACAAAAGCAGAAATAGTAAAATAATAAATATTATTGGGATAATAAATAATAATAATAATATGAACTATATAGCCATAACCACGGACTAAGATATCACAGCTGCAGTGATCCCATAGACTAGAGTACTATTTACTCTATGAGTGATCCGCTCATGATTATGATAATAGCGTTGTTCCACTTGTTCCGTGATAATAGCACGCAAGGACGTGTAACGACTGTAACGTCGTGTTAGCCGTTAGGTTATGTTCTTAAACAATTCTCCATCCTTCGTGCTTACACACCGAGTTTCTTTGATGCCACTTATTATCACCTCCAAGTTCTGAGGGCTGAGGATACAGTCGTCACTTGTCGCTAGTATCAAACGATCGCGATGATATAATATCATACAATACGATTGCGTATTATGAAAATTTATGATCTAAGGTATGAAATATTGAGATGTTTATCGTCAGCGAATTCGAAGAGGTCGTGAAGGTGCAGCCGACGCATTTGGAAGACGATCAAATGTCCCGGATCGTCATACACCTCAATTCGATGCTCGCCAACAAAGTGGTAATGGACGTCGGCTTGTGTCTGTCGTTATTCGACATTTTGGAAATCGGCGATTCGATAATATACCCGAGCGAGGGAGCGTATTTTTCCAAGGTGCGATTTAGATTCATCGTCTTCAGGTGTGTACCGACAAAGTAATGGCCTGGACTGTCAAAATTCCTCCTATTTTTCAGTTTGTCTTCAGGTTGTGGGTTCTTGGACCCCTAAGAAGTCTGTAGATATAGCTACTTGGTGGTATTTGAAGAAGTTTTTTATTGATGTTTGGATGTATTTAATTTCATTTAAGTGTATTAAACTGCCAGCAATTCTTATAACGAGAGGCTGATTTTTCGTTTTTTATGGCTATAGGCACTTCAAATTTGCCACCCCTATAATAGTCTAATTCTCTAAATATTAAATTAAAATATAATAAACAATAGTACCTGAATTCATTTGAATTGTTAGACCTTTTTTCTTGCTTTTAGTTGATTGCGCCTACTTTAGAAAAAATTTTATGAAAACCTACAATGATAGGTAGGTACCTAATTTTTATGAATTATGAATCTTCATTAGGTTTTACTTTTAACCATTGTTTGGAACATTAAGTAAAATACAATATTTTACAACATTTATAATAACAGACATACAAAACAGATGTTATAATAAATATTTTTTTGTATTAATTCTCAACTTAACAAGTTTAATTTTAGAAGTTGACAACTTTTAAAATATTTTATTGTATTAGTACTTACTTTTTTATTCTCAAACTACTAAAAGTGTATGTTTAGTTTAGTAAGATATTACAGAGTTAAATCTTTCAATGAATTTTTTTTTATTTTTTTTTTTTTTATTTATCCCAATAAATGCCAATACATATGTATAAAGCACCTGGGTATTATCTTGTTGATTCGTAAAATTCACGATCATACCACAATTTTTCAAACAGACCTGATAGACAAAAAAATAATAATAATATTATTATTACTACCGAAAATTTTTGATTATTGTTATTGTTGCCATTTGAATAAGACGCGTGGCTGTGTGGATGATTTTCAATGTGGTAACTTGCGCTTTGCGCTGACTATTCCAACAGAGCTCAAGGTGTTAAAATATATTATAATATCATCTAAAACTATTTTCTATACAATAAACACAGTACTTGTGGATTTACAAATGTATTATGACTGTAAATTATATTGAATCAAAATAGATACACAATATACATTAAAATAATATGTATACAAAAATATATTATACATTACTATACAATTATTTTTTGTAAATATACCTTAAGTAACTAATCTTTCAAATCCTTCCAGAATATGCCACCCTATGCAGCTGCATACTCTGCGTAATGGGAAATCTGCCTCTGCTTATAACTCATACTCATAATAATAATACTTTTTTAGATAATTATACTTTATAGTATAAAGTTTTTTCTCAACAAAAGTCCAAAATACAGAAAAGAGTAAGAAACTATAAATCCCTGGATTACACGTTGAATGCATTCAATAATCACATATTATATAATGACTGCACTTAGTAATTTATTCATATAGAATAAGAACAATATTGTACTCCAAAGTTAAGAATTCACCAGTTTTGTGCACGATGACTGCCTGACCTCCTTGTGATTGCTTTGCATTCTTTGATTGGTCAACAGTCATCGGCGGTGCTCGTTTTGTGGTGGAAATGCGTGAGCAAGACGAGTTTTCGTTAGCCGAGAGGTGTATTCTTAACATGAACAGAGTATAGTTTTTATCTGGTTGATTAAATGGGCACAAATTATGTGAGTTATAATTTAAAAATTCTGAGACACCCAAACTCCCCCAAAATTGCGCCCCTGGCGGTTACAGTGACATTGTTACACAACATATTTCTCATGTTGTAGACCATTTGTCGAAGAAATACTCATTGGAAAAGTAAAGAGCTCCAGTCCCGATGGAGCTGTACTGACGACTGGCTTCTTTGAAGACATATTTGTGCCAGCAGCAAACATGCAAAACCCCAGTCGTTTTGACGTCAAAGACAAAGTGTGGGTGTGGGAATACGACAACTGTGGAGATACAGTTGAGTTGCACATGGACATTGGTGAGACAGTTAGGTTTCGTGTAGTTTCAGAACAGTTTGTCGATACGCATCCAGGGGTGGACAGCGGGCTTTTAGACGCCGGTGAGATAGCCACATCAAAATCAAAATCACCATATTCAATTGTTGGGACAGTAAGAGAACCTGGTTTAGGAGTAATTGGATGGTGGACAGATTTATAAATTGTTAAATAGGTAACACAAATTATTTGTAAGTATAAATTTTAAATTAAATGTTGCACATAATGAAATCAAATAATAGTTGTTTTTTTATCATCTTTAGTTGTACATTATACTTTATCCTATATTGACTTTAAAATTTTAAAATCATGTGCCTCAGATAATTCATTTAGAACAAACATTGATTTAAAAATGATTGTATTTTAAATAGTTCTACTGTACTAAAGAACCTTGCTGCTTTGAAATGTTTTAAAAAAAAAAAAATATTTAATACAAATTTAATTGTTCTCGAATAAGAAATACCTGCTATTGAACCATAAAAACAACCTTCTGTAGGACAATTCTCAAGTTTACATTGTGCCCATAACATTTGGGTATACAATTCAACAAATTACTAAGATAAAATAAAAATATCTTGTTTTCTAAATATTTTAAATAAATAGTATTTAGATTTTCTTCATTTTTTTAAAAAAATATACTATTTACATATTATGAGTTAAGTATTGGTACTTGTAGCTTTGCCACCAGTCAAGTAGCTAAGTGTCCATCAGCAGTATTTAATCTAAAAACTCAAAATGTATGATCTATATTTTTATCTTACATTCACATAAACACAAATCTAATACTTAAAATAAAGAAGACATGTATTTCAAACAAATACTTCTCAGTTATAGTGTTGAATAGTATTTTGTAATATCTTATCATGATAATATGCCATTGCATGTGTCAATAAATTATCATTAAAAATAAGTTTTTCATTTTTACAACAAATATATATCATTAGCAAATTGAAATGTATGACAACGACCATCAAGAAATGAAAATGAAGAATCTTTGGAGTTTAGGGAATATTGTTATTTTTATTTTATTTTAAATTATTTGCATGTTAATTAGGAAATATTAATAGTTAACTAAGCTACAATTAATTAAAAAATGTCCTGGTGGCAGAGCTATAAATTGTATACGGCAGGATGCCATGTTGGAAGAAGGATAACTGATAAAAACGGGAACATACAATACTTAAAAGTTATACATAACAAAATTTAATCACACTTTTTCTTTTGAAATTGTTTATTTTATTTCAATTTAAAAAAACTATGTAGTAAACAATCATTTTTAATAATAAAATTACCAATAATAGCAGTAGTATAAAAAAAAACAAGATAAAGTCTATTATAAAGAAATTGGAAAGTATAAAAACTTTAAGTTGTCATAACTACATTTTTAAATCAATTATTAATTTAGGGGTTTATACTATGTTTATTTTAAAATTTTAATTTTAATAATATTGGAGGTTCATCAATTATAAAATTAAGTGTAAAGTATTGATAAAATCTGATGGCACAACTGTGTTGTCAATAATTTCTGTGTGGATTATAACCATGAGGCCTTGGACCACCCTGTTAAATGTGTAAGTAAAATTAACTATCAGTAAATAAATTTATAAAATTTCAATTCAAAACACTTACTCTTTGGGTAGTATGATTATATGGTTGATAACGATTATTTTGTGATCTTCCCATTGGACCCACATTTCCATTAAAAGATTGTCTAGGCCTAAATTATGATACAAAAATTTGAATTCATTGTTGGTAATAATAAAAAAAAATTAACAGCTTACTGAGAATTATTGGCTTGAAAACCAGCAGTAAAATATCCTGGTCTATCATTTCTGCGCATAGACGGTTGATCAGATGTGTATTGAGTTCCATAATTTGGATATGCATTGTTGTCTGATCTATAAGAGTTATTTTGTTGACGACCATAATTGCCGTGGTTTGTGTTCTGATCATTTTGAGGAAATTGGTTTTGATTTGCATGCCAATTACTACTTGGACGCCTAGAATTTGGGTAGTCATTTCTATAATCTAAAAAAACAAAAATAGTTAGAATACGTCTAACATGGTAAAATAATCAAATTGATTGATAAATAATAGTAATTACTTTGTGGTGGAGGAACAGAACCATAATTACTTGAATTTCTTGGTACGTGACTTCCATTTCTGGGTGAATAATGCCTAAAAATAAAATGTTTCTTAATATGTAAAAAAAAGTATTAAAATGTATACTTACGATAATGTTCTATGACCTGAAGTTGCAAGCCTTCCACGTTGATTTGAATGAGTCATACCAATCATAGGCCTCCAAGATCGAGATTGTTCATCAGACAAATGCTTTGGTTTCAATACCCTTGGAGGTTCTCTTCACATAAACATTTTTTTTTTTAATTATACTTATTTAAATCATAACTAGTAAAGGAAAATTACACTTACATAACACCTTTAAGACGAATAGCTTCAAATATATGATTATCTCCATAGTTAGGGTCTTCAAATTTCACACTAAAAAAAAGTTCTATTAAATGATATTTTATACCATACAGGAAAATAACATTTGAAACTTACCATATAACTTGATTTGATCTTACAACGTTTAATCCCATAACTGGCGACGGAAGTGACCTAAAATTATTTATTATGTGTAATTAAATATTTTCAACAGTGATTAAATTAACTAATAATTTATATTACCCTCCAATTTTGACACAATCATCAGCCAGCATAACTTTACCTTCCATACCATCAATAAGTACAGATGTCAAGTTTTCATAGTTATCTTTATTTAAGTATAACTCTTTAAGTAATTCGTACTTAGAATTATCTTGTTGAATATACAAACGATCCATGCCTTTTACATTGCGTCGTCCTAAGTGTTAATATTTCAAATTAGAATTAAAAATAGAAAATATCCTACAAAGTTATTACTTTTAAATTAAAAAGTAATTGAATATTATGCGATCTCATTTTTAACTTTTACTTGTTGGGACAGTGTATATAAATTAGGATTAGACTAGAAAAAGTGTACTTTTATTTATTCAAATGTTGAGTTTTTAATAATAATATTTTTGTATTAATTTCGAAAAAAATTTGAAACATGTAAAAGTGCATTTCTCATTAAACTGCCATAAAACTAATTTGATTGAAAATTATTATACTCTGTTCAGCTTTGAACTTGCCAGTTCTGCACATCCCTCTATCAAACCGGTTTGCCTATGTCAGCGTGTAGCGTAGGGGAACCAAATTTGGTCGAGGCGCTGAGTGTTCTTTCGCAGGATAGAGTATAGTTAATGATGTTGGCCTACTGTAATGTATATTATTCATCGTTTTGAAAATAATGACATTTTGCGATTTACTGATAAGTGATAACACTTGAATTACTAATTAGTAACTTTCTTTATTTAAACTTTAAAATAAAAATACTGGAAACAATTGATCTTGTTTTTTAAGTTGAATTTAATATAATGGGTTCTATCAGCCACAGGGACTTCTGATAAACAGAGCTCTATATTTACAATTTATAAACTAAGCGTTACACTTAAAAAATAACTTAACTTATTACTCTCATGTTTATGTTATAAATATAATGTTTACATACTTTCTTCAGAAGTCAAAAGATCATAGTATGGTTCTAAAGCTTTATGTAGTCTTGCTTCCTCGACAAATGGCAATAGTGCAACACCTTGCCAAGCAAACTTTTTACCATTTAAATCAATTTTGAAGTCAACTGGATAAAAATCAATTATTGTTGATTCCTATGAATTAAATAATTCTATTATAAAAAATATATATTTATATAAATACCCAGGACTGGTATGAAAAATTATTTACTGGATCACTCATCAAAACAGCCCAAGGTTGAGGTACATGATTGCTACTAGCTGCAGGGAAAACACTCATGAGTTGTTCTAATGGACGAAACTGTGAACAAAATTGGAAACATTAGTTATTAATTAATGAAATGTTAAAACAATTATAAGTAACATACTGGCACGGTTCCTTTTTCAAACTTTGTTGATACTGCAGATATATTAAGAAAGTCAGATGCAAATGGTGCATAATGATAAGGGAAATACCATTTCCAAGAAGGACAACCTTGGTAATAATATTGAAGAACCCAACAAAGACCACGCACATACTCCAAAGCCACTTGATGTCGGAAACCACTGTTTGTCCTGTCTACATCAAATTTAGATTCATAGTAACGTTCCTTAAAACCATCTTCCCACAAACGAACTTCATCGGGTGTTTCTTTTTCTTCATCTGATGATTCATTATCATCTCTTTTACGTTTCAATCCTTGATTATTTTCATTACCCTAGTAACAAAAAATAATTCAATCCACATAACATACTAAAATATTTTACGATCAATAAACTTTTATAACTAACAACACTTTGTCTCCTCATTTCATCAACAGTTTGTCTTGGATTAGATATTGAAAATGCTGCATTTGGTGCCTATAATAAAATACATAAGCATATTCAGTTAATTCACTATTAGAAAAACGACATTAAGTTATTAATAAAATTATATAATTACTGATGGTGCATATTGACCCCCTAGTACAAAACTGGGAGCGCTTTTTGAGCGCATTAATTTATCTCGTTTTTCTCGCCGTTTTTTCAATTTGTTTCTATCGGCAAACATTTTTTCTGTTTGTTGCCTTTTTTTAAATATTTCATCTTCAGCCATACCCAAGTCAGACATTATTAATTGTACTCTATCCAAATTTACGTCACCACTAGCAGTCAAGAATCCCTGAAAAGAAAAATAATTTACACATTTAAATATAAATCACATAAACAGAAATAAACAATATATATTTAATATTAAAACAATTACCCCAGTTTTGTACACAGTTTTCTTATACAAAGACACAAGACGATCAATTGCATTTTCTCTTATTTCTAATGATGGCAAATGAGGCAAAAAGTCATTACCAACAAAAAAACACATAAACACCCAATCATCCAGAGCTCGTTCAAATTCATATTTAAATGGTAAGTTAGGCATTTCTAATTCTCGTTCTAAATATTCACGTAACACATTCAAACGTACAAATATGAACTGAACATCAGCTGAAAATTCAATAGTTGATCCATCATTGAATGCTTCTCTTTCTAAACCTTGGCAGTCCTTAATTTCATGTCCTAAACATATTATTAAACATAAATAAAATTATAATATCATATAATATTATTAATGACTACTAATATACTAAAATAAATATTTGTTG